CGATCCTCCTCGATCCTCGACCTTCGATGCTCCGCCCCGCCCCGTCGTCGAGGAATCGGGGCATCGGCGCTGCGGCTCCTTCTCGGCGGAAGGGCGGCGGAAGGGCGGCGGGGGCCTGCGGAAGGAAAGCGAGAGCGGCCCCGCGGGCGGAGGCCGGCGGAGGGCCGGCGGAAGCAAGTCGTGCGCGCCCCCGCGGATGGTACGGTTCCGAGTTATCGGAAGCGGCAGCCCTCCATGCGCGGAGCGGGCGGCCGCCCGCGGCGGCGGCACGTCCAGGGCGGAGGCGGCGTGGGGGGGGAGCGAGACGCGGCAGCGCCACCACCAAGGGACCACCTCCAGCGAGGAGGTCCACGATGCCTCCGCGAGCTGTGGGCAGGGGAGCTCGAGCGAGAGGGGGGGGGGCACACCACCAGTCGGGCCCTCCCTGGCTCCTCCCGCGGATGGTCCGTGGTGGTGGTGCCGCTGTTCCTCGTTCCGAGCGGCGCTGCGGCAAACGGCGGCGGCGACGACGACGACGACGACGACGACGACGGCGACGACGACGACGACGACGACGACGACGGCGGCGGCGGCGGCGGCGGCGGCGGCGGACGGCGGCAGACGGCGGCAGACGGCGGCGGCGACGACGCCCCCCCCCCCCCGCGACGGCGGCGGCCAGGCGGCACCGCCCGCGCTGGGCGCCGCCGCGGGGCGCGGCGCGGTGGGCGGTCTCGCCCTGGCCGCCGGGGCGTCGGCGGCCGCCGCCAGGGTGCGGGCCGCCTTCGACGCCGACGACGCCGACGCCGGCGACGACGGCGACGACGACGGCGACGACGGCGACGACGACGACGACGACGACTGGGCGGCTCGAGGGATCTTGTCTCCCGGGGAGACCCAGACATGCGCGCGTCGTGAAGCCATCACGACGGAAGCAGGCTGTTTTTCTTGAGACTCTCGGCGGGGGGGTGGGTCGTGGCGAGGCCCGGAAGGAATTCTAGAATTCTAGAAGACTCCGCGCAAGTCGGGACTCACCTTTTCGGCCCAGCGCTTTCTGAAAAGACGGAGGGGGGGGACTGCCATTCAAGTAAGCTTGTTTTTGTCTAACCTAGAACGCCACTCAGGTTTTTGGCCGTTTTCGGCTTCTGGGGGCCCTCGTCAAGCCCCAGGAATGTCAAAGAAGGACTCAGGGTGAAAACCCAACCCTGGGGAAAGGGGCGGGGCTTCTGGAGATCCCTCGTCTCTCCCCTGACATTCTGGCGTCGCATATTTTCACAACGGGTGATGTTGCCTTGATTCGAGCCCCAGGACCCTGACGGATCGACCCAGCTCCAAAATTGCAGCAGAAATGTGGGGTCCAGGGCTGCGGTCGAGATTTGTCGCGATGTTGCAGTTTTTCGTGACATCGGATTTTAGGGTACTCTGTCGGGGACATGTGAGACCGGACTTTCCAGAGCTTGGGTTGTAGGCCGCCGCCCTTGACGGTCCCGGCGTGGACTTCGACGGGGGCGATTCTTGTGGGATGGTTTGCAGCCAGAGCCCCGCCTTTCTTCTGCATTTCAGGCAGATCCGAGTACCCCAAACTCGAGCCCCATGTCTTCCCGACTCGGAGGAGCAAGAAGTCCTTGACAGCGACACGTTCCAAGGTTTCCAGGCTTTCCTGCTGTCCCGCGCGGCCAGGGACTGGGAAGAGCCGAGCGGCCGCCAGAAAGACCAGAGTTTAATTTCACGTGTCAACCACCCTAGGTTTCACTCGGGAGGCCTACGCCAGTCCGCCGACCACGATCAGAGGAGTCCTGCGGCCTCCGACGTCGTGTGCTTGGTTGGGCGCGTCCCGTGGTGCTGCCCGCGCGTAGTCTTTACTGGCCTGTCCCCGCTCTCTGCCGCGCCTGAAGCGGGGCTCCTTTCTGGGCCTCCTGCGGGCCTCGGGGGCGGCTTCCTGGGCGATCTGGTTGGAGGGTTTCCCGAGGTCTCTCAGGAGGAGAAAAAAAACACAGACACAATGAATCGTCGATTCCCCAGAGCATATGGAAAAATATGGGGAGTGGGGGGGAGGACAGAAACCACGAAAATATAGGAACATATGGGGAATCCAGTTATTTGTGTGTCTATTTCTTTTGTGTGTCCCAGTTCCCCTTCGGTCTCGTAGGGTGGCATCTTATAGGGGGAATGCGGGGCGCCTCCCAGAGGCCACCTTCTTGGGGGAGGGCTCCAGGAGCCCCCACGACGATCACACATCGGGCGTGTCCCTCTACAGGAGGAATACTCGGAAGTAGTCCAACACATAATCTGGACACGATGTTTCGACTGTGTTTTGATTATTTGTTCGTTCAAAATCCGCTTGTTTTTCTTGATGTTACTATGTTTTGACTAGTTGTTTTTTATGTGATATGTTTGGCTATTGCTTGCTTTTCGTTCAAAATCCGCCTGTAAGGACACACCCGACTTAAACCTACGAGTTCCCGCTCGTGGGCCTCTCCAGCCTTTCTTGGCCCAGCTTGCCGACTTCGGCCCCTGCCGCAGCCATTCTGCCCCAGGCATCCCGCGCAGCCTCGGGACGCGGCTGCCACCGAGACTCCCGACGCCATGATTTTCTCATGACGCGGACCCCAGAAGTCTCAGGACCCATTCCCCAGGACCAGCTTTTCATCCCATCTACCGTTGTTTGACGCTCCCGAGAGCCAGTGAGGGCCCCTGGAGGCCGAAAATATAGAGTCATCAAAGCACATCGGACCAAAATGAGCACCCCCCTTTCCCGAAATTCAAAAATGACAGGGGTGGAAGGTATGCCAAATGCCAGGGACAAAATGTGGGCTTTTCAACTTTGGGTTGGGAGGAGGAGGGGTGCGAAGCAAGGGCATTGCGCAGTTGTGATGGTTATAACTTTGCATCGCCTTGCCGCAATGGGTGTGGGCACTCCCAGAGATCTGACGTCGTGACTTTTTCAGTGCGAGGTCCTCAGAAGTCTCGACCCATTCCCCAGGACTGGTTTATCATCCGGAGTCCTTTGTTCGACGGTCCCGAGGCCCGGCGAGGGCCCCTAGAGGCTGAATATTGCGAGAAACCTCTGCCTTGATTTTTTCAATGCGTTCGATCGCTGGGCTTTTGGTCCGGGCGCCGGTGCTCGACCATGCTGCCCAGCAACTCGCTGACGGCCGCGCGCGCACCCCCGGCGGGCCAGCCGCATGGGGCGCGGCCGCGCGCCAGCGGGGCCGCTGGGCGCGCCCTGCCGGTTGCCGGGCGCCGAGGGGCGCTGCCCGCCCCGGGCTGCCGAAGGTGCCGCGCCGCCCGCGGCCGCGACGCTCGTGCTGCCGGAGCTCAGAGGAGGAATCGAAGGAGAAAAAACGCCATACATATCAATTTGTGGGACTCCGCGCGGATTTCTTGGATCCACGTCTGGCCCCCCCACCCCCCCCCGGCGGCGCCTCCGGCGCCGCCCCTGGCCCGCTCCGCGCGCCAGGGAGGGTTTCCAGCGCGGATCCAAGAAATCCGCGCGCAGCGCCAAAAGTTCTGCTTATGGCGTTTCTTCTTCTTCTGCAGAGGAAGACGGGGTTGGGGTACCGCTACAGTGGAAACACATGCAGAAATAGACACCCTGCTTGCCTCCAGGGTGCCCTGGGTATCTTGGGTTTCGATGGTTTTGCAATGGGAAGCGTGATTTTCCCACACCAAAAATCAATGGACTCCCTGGGGTCTCAGGGTTGGGTTTCTTGATAAAGGTTTCTTGTGATCGAGCTGCCGGAGCTTAGAGGAGAAACGGGTACACGTCGGTCGTTGAAAGTAGGTCTTTCTGGATTCCCAGATCCCAATCTACTTCTATCGCCTTCCTACTTCAAGCATCGATCTGCGTTTGCTGTGCTCTGTTATTCTCTGGGAGGGCCTGGACCCAACCTATTTTGTCCGCCTTCCTATGTCAGGTGTTTACCAACCACTTCCGACCGACGTGCATTGAGACCTCTAACCCCAGACCGGAAGGGTAAGAAACAGCACAGGAGGAACAATTGGTCCCTGTGAATGGGTTCCGAGACTTCCAGGGTCCACGTCGAGAAAAAGTCATGACCTCGGGATTTATAGTATAGGGCCCTTGTGTCGTCTCCGCCTGTGTGGGTCTCCTGGGAGGCCCTCGTCGCCACCGCTGGATTCGCCTCGAGGTTCAGGTCAGAACGCACTCCAGGAGAGGTCCGCGGAGTCGGTATCGGTGTCGGTATCTTGTTGTGCCCTCAGGAGCAGCGGCCTTCCTTCGAGTGCGCGTACCTCCCCTGACAGCCTCCAGTGGTGGAAGGAATCACGGCGGAGGGCTTCTGCAGAACTGATGGCTCTTGGGAGGCCCTCGCGGGCGGGGCCCCGCGGGGCCGTCAGAACACTGCGCGGGGTAGAAAGCCAGTCCCGGGGAAGGGGGTCCAGACCTCTTCCGAGAGCATCGCGGCGGTTGCTAAGGGGATAAAAGGGGGCTTAGAAGCGTATGCGAGGGGGTTGCCCGTGCCCCAAGTGATTTTGGGGGGTCAGCGATCCGGGCTGTGTGGGCCCCGCCCATGCGCGTTCCGAAGTTGGCTAACCGCTAAGCCACTCAGGGCACCTGTAACCCAGTTATGAGCTAGGATCAACGCGCCCAGCAAGGACGGTGGCCTTCATCTAGGGTGCCCTTGTGTTCTTGCCTCTGCGGCCCGTCCTTTGCCGTTTTCACTGGTCGCCCGCCGCCCCAAAACTCCCATCTTCGGCCTCCAGGGGTCTTTCGTCCTTACCACCATTCCTTCATACACGGTTTGAGTGTAGGGTCGGCCAGATACAGCCCATCTTTGCCTCCGCATTTGAGCCCCCCCCATCCCCCTAGCATCGGAGGGAGGAGAAGCGATATCAACACCACCAGGGGGCCCACCTCCAGCGAGGAGGTCCACGATGCCTCCCCGAGCTGGATGCTGGGGATGTCTCGAGCGAGAGGGGGGGACCACACCACCAGGGAGACTCCCCTTGCCTCCTCGCGCCTCCTCGCCCTGCTGGTGTTGGTGTCGCCTTTCCTTGCTCCCCCTCGCAACCGCCGCGGTCATCTCAGTGGGGAGCCACGCCGTGACAAAAACCACAACGGAGGGTGTCTGGGTCGCCGCTGCCGCGGGCGCCGCACGCTCACGCCTGCGCGTGCGGCGGTGCCGCCGCCTGGCCGCCGGCGCCGCGTGCCTGGTGGTCCACGGCGGCGGCCGCGCCAGCGCGCCCGCCCCGCTCGAGGGGGAGAGGCACGTGGTGGAGCTGGGGGCCATCCTGCGCGAGGGCAGCGCGCTGCTCGGGCTGGAGGTCGGGGGGCGGAAGGGCGACACCACCACCACCACCACCACCACCACCACCACCACCACCACCACCACCACCACCAGAGGGGGCCAGCTCCAGCGAGGAGAACCAAGAGGCCTCCCCGAGCTGGGGACGGGCCGTCTCGAGCGAGAGGGGGGGACCACGCCGCGAGGGGCCCCCCCCTACGAGCTGCTGCCGCCGGTGGTCCCTGGTGGTGATGGTGTCGCTTTTCCTTGCTCCTATGGAGGAGACCTTGCCTGGAGCGGGGCCGAGCGCGCCGTGCCTGGAGCTGAGCGGGCGGCTGCGTGGGGCGGTCGGCGCGCCGCAGGCGTTTGGGCCCCTGGTGGGGGAGCTCTGCGAGCGGCTGCGCGCGCTGCCGGCCGCCGTCGAAGGTCAGTGTCGTTGAATCGATCCCCATCCCCGACGGGCCATGTCACCTCAGCCCCGCCATCCCACCACTCCAGTTGAGGGTGGGCCACTCGAAACCCGAAGTGAACAGCCTGCATCCCCATCTGGGGGGGTATACTTAGATCGGCCAGTGGGGTCCAGGCCACGCCAGTGGGGACAGGGATCGGATACACGAGGCTCTGAAGGGCCCGCTGCCTACCTCGGGGGCCGGAAGCCGGGTCTCGGGAGCGACGTGCCGCTGGCGGGCGCGCTGCTGGCGTGCGAGTGGTGGCGGTCGCAGGCGGCCAGGGCGCTAGCGGCGCCCTCTTGGCCGCCGCCAGCCGCCGAGGACCCATGGGGGGAACGCAGGGGCAGGTTTCGAACTCCTCAAGCTTCGAGGTTCGAGGCTGGAGGTATTGTTGCGTTTTCGTCGATTCTCGGCGGTTTTGCAGCCTCGGGGTGCCTTCCGGCAGCTGCGCCTCGCCGAGGGCGCACCAGGGGTGCCGGATCGTCCCCAGCGGCCGTCAGAGTCCCGAGTTAGGACCCGAAAGCCGCTAGAACCTTGAGATCCTGGCGCCGCAACTCTGTCGCAGCGGGCCGTTTTGCCTCGTTTCGGGCACCTGGGAGCGTCACGGATCGAGCCGGCTCGAAAATTGCGGCACAAAAGGATCGTATATGTGGTCCAGGGCTCTGCGCGGGGTGTTTTCTACGAAGCTGCACTTTTGCCGCGACGTCGGATCTCAGAGGAGAGCGGCGCCGAGGCGCCGAGGGGGCGCGGCGTGGTGCTGCTCTGGCTGGCGCGCGTGCTCAGGGCCGGGCCCGGGCGCGCGGCGCTCGGGGCCTTCTGCGGCGAGGGCGGCCATGAGACCGTCGGCACCCTCGTGGGCGAGGCCGAGCTCCTGGAGGAGGTGCCCCCGAGCCTCGCAGAGGCCCTGCGCCTCGCCCGCCCGCCATCCGGGCAGCCCCGCTTCCCGTCCTCGGCCGAGCGGCGAGAGGCGGCGCGGCTCGCGGATGCGCGGCGGGCGGCGGCCCGCCTGGACGCCCAGCTCGTCGAGGCCGTCCGGCGGGGCGACCTGCGGGCGGCGGGGGAGCTGCTGCGTCGGGGCGCCAACGCCCTCGCCCGCGCGAGCTCGAGGACGCCGCGGGGGCTACCCCGGGGCACCGGCTTCTCGGAAGCGGGGGCCCGCGGGGCGAGGCGGCACGAGTACGGGCTCGTGCACCTCGCGGCCTCGCTGTGCGTCTCGCTGCCGCGCGGGGCGGGGCAGGGCCACCCGGCGCACGGCATCGCTGCGGACCTCGGCGTTCGGGCTCCGGGCCACCGGGCCGGCACGCGCGAGGGCGGCGGGCGCGCCGACGTTGGCCTGTGCCGGGGCGCCGCCATGCTTCACATGCTGGAAGAGGCCGGTGCAACCTTTGATGGCGAGGATTCTGACGGACTGACGCCCGTGTTCTACGCGGCCATGTCTGGCAGCGTGTGCTGCCTGTCGCACTTGATGAACGCCGGCGGGAGGCGACTGTTTGATCACAGGGATCTCTCGCGGAGGACGCCTCTGTATTGGGCCGTGGCGAACGACCAGCCGCAAGCTGTGGAGTGGCTTCTCGATCACGCAGCAGCCGAGATTGACGCCCCAAACAGCGCAGGACAGACAGCGCTGGCAAAGGCCGCCTGGTGCGATCTGCCTTGCATGGCCGAGCTGCTTCTTGCGCGTGGCGCCGATCCTGGCCTGGTCGACGAACATGGCCGCAATTGTCTCCACAAGGCCGCGTGGGGTCCAGATGGAGGCCGCCACGGGGTCAAGTTTGTGAATGGCGGGGCTTTGGGAGCCAGCCCGCGGTGCGTGCAAGCGCTGATGATGAGGCAAGGGAGCTCCTCCTTGCTGGTCGCAGACAACTTCGGCGCGACGCCGCTGCACGTTGCAGCCTCCACTGGGGCGCTGGATGCGTTGGACGAACTCCTCCGGTCCGAGGCTGGCCGCAGGCACGCTACGCACGCGCTCGCAAGAACCGCGTTCAAGAACCAGGCAGACTGTCTGCGCAGGCTGCTTTCCGCGAGGGGCGACCCGTGGTGGCGCTGCTCGTCAGGCCACTCCGCGCTGGACCACGCGGTCGTCGCGGGCAGCCGGCAGGCTGTGGGCATGCTCTTGGAGCAGCTGGTGGAGGCCAGGAGGGCCCCGTCGGGGTCTGGCGAAGGGGCGCTCGCTGCACACATGGCCTCCGCCGCCGAGTGGTGTTGCCGCCGCGGTCGTGCGGGCGCTCTCCGCCAGGTGCTGGGGGTCAGCGCGGAGACGGCATCCCAGAAGGACTTCGTGCATCTGTGCTTCGCGGAGGCCCTGGAGGGTAGGATGTCCGTCGGCCCAGCCCGCTGGCCACCCTTTACCGACGAGGACAGGAGCTGGCCCGAGGCATGGCTTCCTGAGCAGATGATCTTCCAGCCAGATCTGCACGCTGAGGCTGCGGATAGTTCGGAATGCCTCGCCGCCGCAAGGAAGTGTTGCCGTGAGTTACTTCGGACCAGAAGGGCACGTGTCAGTGAGGGCACGTTGTGCGGGATCCTGCGACACGGCCTTGCGGACAACGCTGTCGATCTTGTCCAAGCGCTCGTGGACGCCCGCCTCGCGTCTGCTGCTGTTGATGAAGCCATCGAAGCAAGCAGTCTTCTTGCGTGGCCTCTTGTGGCAGCGGCTGCTGCTGGGGATTTGGATGCCACCGAGGTGCTCTTGTCTCGGCGTGCCCATCCAGATGCAGGGCCAAACAGCGGACTGGCCCTGGCTGTTGCTGTGTCCGTAGGATCACCTGCATGCGCCGTGGCTCTTGCGGAGCAAGCTGCGCCAGACACCCTTTGCCCGGACGTCTACGGGCAGGGGGGGCATATGCCACCCGTGGTCCTTGCAGCAGCTCACGGGCAGGCAGAGTGCGTAGAGTGCCTACTCGCACTAGCGAGGCGCCAGCGGGAAGGCTGCGCAGCACAGCTTGGGAAGGCAGCTGCAGAAGCAGCAGCAGCGGCGGGCCGACGTGACATCGCCCAGTGGCTCGCTAGCGAAGAAGTAGCCCTTAGTCCCAGCAACTCTTGGGCAGCTGAACTGCGACTGCCAGAGCTGCCCAAGGTACTCCAGTACAGCGTCGTCAGCATCGACGGCCACGAGTCCAGCACACCTGCAGGGCGGGGATCAGCTTGCGAAGTCCCAGAGGCTGCTGATGCAGTGGATGGCCTCGTGGCAGCTGCCCTGGCAAGGAGCGCAGCCCAGTCGATCGACCCCATGCCGATACGATCACCGACGTGTTGCTTGATACAGAGCACCGGCGAGGCAGAGGCAGCCGTCGAAGCTCTCCGGACAGACATGGCCGACGGAGCCCCGGTCTTGGGCGTCGACGTCGAGTGCCACGGCGACGTAGTTTGCACAGTCCAGCTTGGTAAGGCTTCGGGTTGCGCACAGACAGCCCTCCCAGGTAGTCAGGGCTGGCCTCAACAGGCCCCCCAAGTAGTTAGTCCCAGCTGGCCTCAGCAGGCCCCCCGATCAGTCTGGGGCGGTCTCAACACCCTGGCGTTGAGGCGTTGAGACCGCACCTGACTGTTTCGGAGGCCTGTTCAGGCCAGCCTGGACTACTCTGGCCTGTTGATGCCAGCCAGGACTTTTTGCACGGGTCGCGACCGAAATCTGGCCTCCAGTCGCGAATTCCACGAACGAGCGGGCCGTCGACGTCTTCGAAGTTTTGGCGTGGACCCCGACGCGCTGTCTCATTCGTTACCAAAGTTCGACCCCCCGCTGGTCGCGACTGACACGGTGCGGCCGAACTCCGCTGCCGAAAACTTCCGGTTGCGGATGATCTGGCTGGGGGTCGGGGGTGGACAGACCTCCCACCCTGACACGTCGATTAGTGAATTGTCCGTTTTTGGTTCTCGAGAGGGCGCCGCGGCCGTCATTTCCCAGGCTTGCGCCCGCCAGGTTTTGGCCCGAAGTCGTTTTCACCAAACCACGTTTTACTAAAGGGAGGTCTGTCCATCCCCGAGGGGGTGGGCTGTCGACGAGTCGGTGATCCTCCGGACGTGCGCTAGCCTGCGTGTGTGCGTTTACCCACTTCGGCACCGCCGGGAGCCCGCAGAGCCTGCCTCGGCCCCCGTCGCGCCGCCCGCGCCGTCCTGGCAGGGCGTCGCAGGACGAGCGCATGCTGGCACCGACGCGCGCTCTGCTGCCCCTCCTCGCTCCAGGGCTCGAGATCTGTATTCCACGCTTTGCTGCGGTTTCGTGGGCCATTCTATCGGCGGTTTCTCGTGGGCCATTGTCGTGTTGATTTTTCGTTGTCCACCCAGGGCGGAGCGAAGGCAGCACGAGGGGCAACGAAACCGTAGAGCGAACACGGAACTCCTTGCCTTTGGCTCGAGCCCGGAGGACGAGACATCGTCGCCTGAGTGCCCCATTCGGGCTGGACGAAAGGGGGGGATTGGGAAAGGGGGGGTTACGAAATCTGCTGCATACACCTGGTTTCGGCCCCGCCGCCGGGCCCATGCCTCGGTACACGGGCGCCGGGAGGCGCCGGGAGGCGCCGGGAACATCAGCTACGACGTGAGCTGAGTCTCCAACCCCCCCTTCGCTGTCCCCCCCTTTCGCCCGACCCGGCCCATCGGCCCGAAGCCTCACCAGCGCCCGGCTCTCCACGTGTGCCCGCGACGTCGTGCTCGACGGGCTGCGGCTGCACGGGGCCCTCGGGGGCGTCCTGCGCGGGCTGCTCGCCGACCGCGGGAGCATCAAGGTTCGGGGGTGGACAGGCCTCCTACCCTGACGCGTCGATGAGCGAATTCGCCGTTTTCGGTTCGCGAGGTGGCGTCGCGGCCGTCATTTTTGCGGGTCCAGGTCCGTCGGTTTCGGTCCCATGCAGGCCGTTTTCACTAAGGGGAGGTTTACTAAAGGGAGGTTTGTCCACCGCCGACAGGTCTTCCACGCCCCACAGATCGGGCAGCGCCCAGGGGAGGTCACCACGAGGCGGGGCACGGGCTCCTCTTGGCAATCGCGGTTCTCAGACCCCTTCGAGGCATGAACAAATCACGACGGGAGGATTTTCGCTATTTGGGGCCTCTGGGGGGTCCTTCTGGGCCTCGGGACCGTCAGAAGACGACGCAGGGTGAGACACCAGTGATGGGGAACGGGTCGAGACCTGTGGGGGTCGACGTCATGACAAAAATTATAGCCAGAGTGCAGTATCCCCAAGCAGGGTTTTTAAACCCACTGCGGTTTCCAAGGTCGAGTGCGTGCCCGTCCAGTGCGGGCTGGCATGGCTTGTTAGAACATGCCTCCTCTTCCTCCTCCTCCTCCTCCTCCTCCTCACCTCCTCTTCATCCCGAACGGCATCTCGGAGCCCAGAGTTGCGAGGATGTCTCCAGCGTAACGGGCTGGACCACCTCGCGCGCGGCATCTCGGAACCCAGAGTTGCGACGATGTCTCGGGCGAAACGTGCTGCGAGGAAGTCTGAGGCGAAACGGGCTGGACCACCTCGAGCGCGGCGTCTCAGAGCTCCGAGTTGCGGGGGCCTCCTGGGGCTTCCTGGGGCCTCCTGGGGACCTCCTGGTGCTTCCTCCTGGGCCTCCTGTGGCCTCCTGGACCCCACCTGGGGCTTCCTGAAGCCTCTCGGGGCTCCCAGGCGGGGATATCTAACACGTGGCCGTCGGGCCCCCCCACAATGGGGGGGGTCACAAGAGCAGGAAAAATCAACGCATCGATACCGGATGTGTATTAATTTGACACGTTCTGATTGGGGGCCTCCTGGGGCCTCCTGGGAGCATCCTGGGAATCTCTTGGAGACCCCTGGGGCCTGCCCTGGGCGTCCTGTGGCCTCCTGAAGCTCTCTGGGGCCTCCTGGGGCTTCCAGGGTCCCAGGGGGGATATGTAACATGTGGTCTTCTGTGCCCCCAGGCTGGACCACCTCTTGCGCGGCATCTGGGAGCTCAGAGTTGCGAGAATGTCTTGTGCCAAACGGGCCGGATCACCTTGCGCACGGCATCTCAGAGCTCAGAGTTGCGAGGATGTCTCAGGCGAGACGGGCCGGACCACCTCGCGCAGGGCATCTCGGAACCCAGAGTTGCGAGGATGTCTCAGGCGAAACGGGCTGGACCACCTCGCGCGCGGCATCTCGGACTCCAGAGTTGCGACGATGTCTCGGGCGAAACGTGCTGCGAGGAAGTCTCAGGCGAAACGGGCTGGACCACCTCGAGCGCGGCGTCTCAGAGCTCCGAGTTGCGGACCCTCCTGGGGCCTCCTGGGGACCTCCTGGGGCTTCCTCCTGGGCCTCCTGAAGCCTCTTGGGGTTCCCAGGGGTGGATATCTAACATGTGGCCGTCGGAGCCCCCCAAAATGTGCACAAGAGCAGGAAAAATCAACGCATCGACACTGGATGTGTATTGATTTGACACGTTCTGATTGGGGGCCTCTGGTGACCCCTGGGGCCTGTCCTGGGCGTCCTGTGACCTCCTGAAGCTCTCTGGGGCCTCCTGGGGCTTCCAGGGTTCCAGGGGGGATATGTAACATGTGGTCTTCTGGGCCCCCAGGCTGGACCACCTCTTGTGCGGCATCTGGGAGCTCAGAGTTGCGAGAATGTCTTGTGCCAAACGGGCTGGATCACCTTGCGCACGGGCCCGACCACCTCTTGCGCAGCATCTCGGAACCCAGAGTTTCGAGGATGTCTCAGGCGAAATGGGCTGGACCACCTCTTGCGCGGCATCTCCGAATTCAGGGCTGCGAGGATGTCTCAGGCAAAACGCGCCGGACCACCTCGCGCACGGCATCTCAGAGCTCAGAGTTGCGAGGATGTCTCAGGCGAGACGGGCCGGACCACCTCTCGCACGCCACCTCGGGGCTCAGAGTTTCGAGGATGTCTCAAGCGAAACGGCCCGGACCACCTCTCGCGCGGCGTCCCGGAGCGCAACTTTTCGAGGATGTCTCAAGCGAAACGGCCCGGACCATCAGATTTTTGTGAGGATGTCTCTGCTCCCCTTTCCTCCAGCCGGAGTTAGCTTCTATCACAACAGCACCCCGTTCAGCAAGCTGTTTGGGGAATCATGACGACGTGGGTCTGGGGTTCCTCCTGGCAATCGAGGTTCCAGGATCGAAGCCTGTGGAGGTTCGTGGCTCTTGGATTGGACGCCCTGGGCCGTTTTCTGTTGGGGGGGAGGGGGGAGGCCGCTCTGGAGTGTTCTCGCGGGCCCCGCCTCCCCGAGGAAGTGGCACCTAAGTGGTGACCACCTCCAGCACTGCCTGGACAGAACGACCTGCGATGGCTGCGGGAAAACTTCGGGCTCCGGGTCGCGGGGCTGTTCGACACGGCCGCCGCGGCGCGTCTCCTGGCGACGGCGCCCGAGGGCGGCCCCTGCCCAGGGAGCGGCAGCAGCGCGAGCCTGCAGGCCCTGTGCAGAGACCACCTCGCGCTGGACCTGGACAAGACGCACCAGCGCGCGGACTGGAGGCTGCGGCCGCTGCCGCTGGAGATGCTGCGCTACGCGGCGATGGACGCCCGCGTGCTGCCGCTTCTCTTCTCGGAAGAGGGCGAGCCGAGACATCGGCGGTTCTCCCGACCGGCCCAGATCGCTCAAAATCGGTCCACCACTGAGATCACCGCGGCGGCTGCAAGGGTAAGCCGAGCATGTTCTCTGGGTGGAGAGCAAGGGGTGAAATCTGAAATGCCGTTCCGATTGATTTTTGATGCTTGAGTCTGCAAAAGGTGAACCATAAGGCGGATTGGTTTTCGAGGTGCGGAAGCCCATTTGGATTTCACCCTGAGCCCTCCACCCTAAAAGAACGCTCAGGTAAGGGGATTGGGGTTTGGAAGTAGATGCTAAGATGGCTGATCTCTGGCCAAATCTAGCCTATACGTGGGTTACAAGTGCCCTGAGTGGTTTCGGGGGTTCGATAATTCCGCTGAGTGGGTGGAACCCACTGAAGGGGCGAACGCTCTAGGCTAAGATGGTGTCGTCGACTTAGCAGATGATCTGACCCCCGAAACGTTTTCGATGCCTCTTTGGTTTTCGGCGCCTCTTTGGTTTTCGGCGCGTTTTGGGCCTTTGGCGCTCCATTGGTTTTCAGCGCTCCTTTGGTTTTCGGCGCTCATGTGGGTTTCGGCGCTCCTTTGGTTGTCGACGCCCTTTTTGGTTGCTGCGCACCCTTGTTGGCTTTCGGCGCATCGTTGGTTTTCGGCGACCTCTCGGGTTCGCCGCTCCTTTGCATTTTGGCGCCCTCTTGGTTTTCGGCGCCCTCTTGTTTTTCGGTGCTCCTTTGATTTTCGGTGTACTGTTTCTTTTCGGTTGTTGTTGGTTTTCGGTGCCCCTTTTGTTTTGGGCGCCCTTCGGCTATCTGCGCGCATTTGGTTTTCGGCGCCCTTTCGGTTTTCGACGCCCTTCCGATTATCGGCGCGTCTTTGGGTTTTCGGAGCCCTGTTGGCTTTCGGCGCATCGTTGATTTTCGGCGCTCCTTTGGTTTTCCGCGCCTCTTTGGTTTTCGGCGCCCATTTGGTTTCGGCGTCCCTGCGCTTTTTACAGCGTTTTTGGTTTTCGGCGCCTTTTTTGTTTTCGGGTTTTGTCCGTCTTCGGAGCTTCTGTTGTTTTCGGCGCCCCTTTAGTTTTCGGCGCCCTTTTGGTTATCGGCGCCACTTCAGTTGTTCGGCGCCCTGTTTGGTTTTCGGCGCATCGTTGGTTTTCGCCCCCTTTTGGGTTTTCGGCGGTTCTTTTGGTTTTCGGCGCCCCTTTGTTGTACGGCGCCCCTTTGGTTTTCGGCGCCCTCTTGGTTTTCGATGTTCCTTTGATTTGCGGTGTCCTTTTGGTTTTCGGTGTCTTTGTGATTTCCAGCGCATCTGTGGTTTTCGTTCTCCTTTTGGTTCTCAGCTCCCACTCGGTTTTCGGCGCTCCTTGGGTTTTCGGTGCCCTTTCGGTTTTCGACGCTCCGTTGGTTCTCGGCGCCCTTTGTGGTTTTCGGCGCTCATTTGGTTTCGGCGCTCTTTCGGTTTTTCGGCGCCGTTTTGGTCTTCGGTGCCAGTTTTGCTGTTTGGCGTTATTATTGTTTTCGGCAGTGTTTTCGTTTTCAGTGCCCTCTTGGTTTTTGGCGACCCTTTGGTTGTCGGCTCTCTGTTGGTTTCTGGCGTCCCCTGCGTCGTCCTTTCCAAGTTCGGGGAGCCTTTGGTTTTTGGCGACCTTTGGGGTTTTGGTGCTTTTTGGTTTTCGGCGCCCTTTGGGTGTTCGGCACTGCTCTGGTGTTTGACGCTCTTTTGATTTTCGGCATCTCGTTAGTTTTCGGCGCTACGCTAGTTTTCTGAGTTGGTTTTCCCAACCATCCTGTGGTGTTGGGTCCTCGTTTTGAAGAGACGGTGCCCCGCGTTCCTCCTCCCGCTGCCCCCTCCCCCCTCCTCCCATTATCATCACCATCCTCATCATGCTCATCATTATGAGTATCGTCATCATCATCATCCACATCGTGGTTGTCGGTCATTATCATCACCATCACCATCATCATCATCATCATCATCATCATCATCACCATCACCGGCACACCCCTCACACGTTTCGTGGCCCCATAGGGAGCCCCACCGAAGGCCCAAATGGCTGCGTCCGCATGCCGCGGCCACCCAATTTTGGCACACCCCTCACACGTTTCGTGGCCCCATAGGGAGCTCCATCTAAGGCCCAAATGGCTGCGTCCGCATGCCGCCGCCACCCAATTTTGGCACACCACTTACAAGTTTCGTGGCCCCATGGGGAGCTCCATCTAAGGCCCAAGTGGCTGCGTCCGCATGCCGCCGCCACCCAATTTTGGCACACCACTTACAAGTTTCGTGGCCCCATGGGGAGCTCCACCGAAGGCCCAAATGGCTTCGTCCGCATGCCGCCGCCGCCCAATTTTGGCACACCCCTCACACGTTTCGTGGCCCCATAGGGAGCTCCATCTAAGGCCCAAATGGCTGCGTCCGCATGCCGCCGCCACCCCATATTTGGCACACCCCTTACACGTTTCGTGGCCCCATGGGGAGCTCCACCGAAGGCCCAAATGGCTGCGTCCGCATGCCGCCGCCACCCAATTTTGGTTCACCCCTCACACGTTTCGTGGCCCCATAGGGAGCTCCATCTAAGGCCCAAATGGCTGCGTTCGCATGCCGCCACCACCCCATTTTGGCACACCCCTCACACGTTGCGTGGCCCCACAGGGAGCTCCACCGAAGGCCCAAATGGCTGCGTTCGCATGCCGCCGCCACCCCATTTCGGCACACCCCTCACACGTTTCGTGGCCCCATAGGGAGCTCCGCCGAAGGCCACAGTGGCAGACCTCGCATGCCGCCCGCCACGACGACAGCCTCACGGGGGACCTCACGGGCCCGCTGGTGTCCATCGAGCCCCGCACGTCGGAGCCGTTCACCTTCCGCACCTCCAAGGTCACCCGGACGGGCTTCCCGTTTTCACACGGCAGGGTCATCGCCACGGTGGCGTGCCAGGGGCGCACCATGCGGGAAGGCGGCGGGGCGGGGGAACGGCGCCACCGGGCAGTCTATGGCCGAACCTTTCGAACGCGAGCGGTCCGCAGCCGGACCTTCTCGGCCCCGTGGACTCGCCCTGGGCCGTCGGCTGTCTTGCGCGCCGCTCCCTCGACCGACGCCGCCCAGGCGTGATCCTGGACTGCGGCCGCCACGAGGTCGAGAACGGCAAGAAGGAGGACGACGACTGGCGGCTGGAGTTCTACGTGCTGCTCTCGCGCGCCACGCGCCACGAGGATCTCCTGCTCGCGCGGGCGCCGCTCATCGAGTTCTTCCTGGCAGGGCCGCCGGAGGGCTTGCGGAAGCAGTTGGGGCAGTTTGCTGCGCGCACGACGCGGCGCAGGAGGGAGGCGACGGCCTTCGCCAGAGAGCTGGGCTTCAGCGAGTTCATCCGCGAGGCCTGACCTGGGGAGCGGCCCCGCACGAGCCAGCGGCGCGCGCTGGTTGTCGCTGACGCTTGGATGACCCCAGCTCGTCGTCGGGATTTCTCGCCAGAGGATGACCGGCGCCCGTCGGGGGATTTCACCCAGATCGCGCCATTTTCGCACGCCTCGCCACGCAGTGCGGGGGCGCTATCCGTTGATTCAGAGTCGCAGTGGACAACCCCCGCGCGTCGATGGGATTCCCTCGGGATGACCAGACCGCGTCGGCGAGGACTTCCCAGGCACTTTCGCGCGGCGCCGCCTGCGCGCTGCATTCTGCGCGGCTCGCTGTCGGTCTGGAGGCAAAAACGTCCCCCCTCGTCTCTCGCTCCTCCTGCTTCCCATCGCTTCTTGACCGCGCGCTTCCCCGTCTCGTTTCTGCCGCTGCTGACCTGCCTTCGACATCTACACGGTGTCTCCGTCACCTCTTCCTGCGTGCCCAGTAACAGGTCTCATGATGCGATGATTATACTGATGTGTTGGCTCGCCCCAGTGAGCTCTCCTCCTCCGCCCGCCACCTCCTGCCCGCGCTGCCCTGTGCCTCGTCCACGCAGTGGCGCGGTGCCTATGAGAAGAGGGGCCTAGTTTGCGCGCCCCCTCCTTCGCCCCATATCCGCGCGGCACTCGCAGCTGCATATGGTTGGGTCCTTCGCCGGGCTAATGTTTAGTTATTCTCTTGCACAGGGTGTCTAGAGCTCCGACCACTTTATTTCGGCGTCGTCGCCCCCCCCCCCCTCCCCCTCCCCAGCTGCCCAGTGCTGGTGCTGGTGCTGGTGCCGGTGCTGGTGCTGGTGCCGCTGCTGCTGGTGCTGGTGCTGGTGCTGGCGCTGGTGCTGGCGCTGGTGCTGGTGCCGCTGCTGGTCCGCCCCGACCACTTTATTTCGGCGTCGTCGCCCCCCCCCTCCCCAGCTGCCCAGTGCGCTTCGGCGTCGCACCGCCCCCTCTTGCACCGAACCACTTTATTTCGGCTCGTCGCCCCCCCCCCCCTCCCCCCCCCTTCCCCAGCTTTGCCCAGTGCCCTTCGGCGTCGCACAGCCCCTTCCGCCCCGACTACTTTATTTCGGCGTCGTCGCCCCCCTTCCCCCTCCCCAGCTGCCCAGTGCCCCTCGGCGTCGTCGCACCGCCCCCTCCGCCCCGACCACTTTATTTCGGCGTCGTCGCCCCCCCCCCCTCCCCAGCTGCCCCGTGCCCTTCGGCGTCGCACCGCCCCCTCCGCCCCG